CCAGGGCCTGCCAGAGACAGGGAGTCACACCCCCCCCCTATCTCCCCAGGGCCTGCCAGAGACAGGGAGTCACCCCCCCCCCCTATCTCCCCAGGGCCTGCCAGAGACAGGGAGTCACACCCCCCCCCTATCTCCCCAGGGCCTGCCAGAGACAGGGAGTCACCCCCCCCCCCTATCTCCCCAGGGCCTGCCAGAGACAGGGAGTCACACCCCCCCCCTATCTCCCCAGGGCCTGCCAGAGACAGGGAGTCACCCCCCCCCCCTATCTCCCCAGGGCCTGCCAGAGACAGGGAGTCACACCCCCCCCCTATCTCCCCAGGGCCTGCCAGAGACAGGGAGTCACCCCCCCCCCCTATCTCCCCAGGGCCTGCCAGAGACAGGGAGTCACACCCCCCCCCTATCTCCCCAGGGCCTGCCAGAGACAGGGAGTCACCCCCCCCCCCTATCTCCCCAGGGCCTGCCAGAGACAGGGAGTCACACCCCCCCCCTATCTCCCCAGGGCCTGCCAGAGACAGGGAGTCACCCCCCCCCCCTATCTCCCCAGGGCCTGCCAGAGACAGGGAGTCACACCCCCCCCCTATCTCCCCAGGGCCTGCCAGAGACAGGGAGTCACCCCCCCCCCCTATCTCCCCAGGGCCTGCCAGAGACAGGGAGTCACACCCCCCCCCTATCTCCCCAGGGCCTGCCAGAGACAGGGAGTCACCCCCCCCCCCTATCTCCCCAGGGCCTGCCAGAGACAGGGAGTCACACCCCCCCCCTATCTCCCCAGGGCCTGCCAGAGACAGGGAGTCACCCCCCCCCCCTATCTCCCCAGGGCCTGCCAGAGACAGGGAGTCACACCCCCCCCCTATCTCCCCAGGGCCTGCCAGAGACAGGGAGTCACCCCCCCCCCCTATCTCCCCAGGGCCTGCCAGAGACAGGGAGTCACACCCCCCCCCTATCTCCCCAGGGCCTGCCAGAGACAGGGAGTCACCCCCCCCCCCTATCTCCCCAGGGCCTGCCAGAGACAGGGAGTCACACCCCCCCCCTATCTCCCCAGGGCCTGCCAGAGACAGGGAGTCACACCCCCCCCCTATCTCCCCAGGGCCTGCCAGAGACAGGGAGTCACACCCCCCCCCTATCTCCCCAGGGCCTGCCAGAGACAGGGAGTCACACCCCCCCCCTATCTCCCCAGGGCCTGCCAGAGACAGGGAGTCACACCCCCCCCCTATCTCCCCAGGGCCTGCCAGAGACAGGGAGTCACACCCCCCCCCTATCTCCCCAGGGCCTGCCAGAGACAGGGAGTCACACCCCCCCCCTATCTCCCCAGGGCCTGCCAGAGACAGGGAGTCACACCCCCCCCCTATCTCCCCAGGGCCTGCCAGAGACAGGGAGTCACACCCCCCCCCTATCTCCCCAGGGCCTGCCAGAGACAGGGAGTCACACCCCCCCCCTATCTCCCCAGGGCCTGCCAGAGACAGGGAGTCACACCCCCCCCCTATCTCCCCAGGGCCTGCCAGAGACAGGGAGTCACACCCCCCCCCTATCTCCCCAGGGCCTGCCAGAGACAGGGAGTCACACCCCCCCCCTATCTCCCCAGGGCCTGCCAGAGACAGGGAGTCACACCCCCCCCCTATCTCCCCAGGGCCTGCCAGAGACAGGGAGTCACACCCCCCCCCTATCTCCCCAGGGCCTGCCAGAGACAGGGAGTCACACCCCCCCCCTATCTCCCCAGGGCCTGCCAGAGACAGGGAGTCACACCCCCCCCCTATCTCCCCAGGGCCTGCCAGAGACAGGGAGTCACACCCCCCCCCTATCTCCCCAGGGCCTGCCAGAGACAGGGAGTCACACCCCCCCCCTATCTCCCCAGGGCCTGCCAGAGACAGGGAGTCACACACCCCCATCTCCCCAGGGCCTGCCAGAGACAGGGGGTCACACACCCCCATCTCACCAGGGCCTGCCAGAAACAGGGGGTGTCACGGATTGGGGGGAGTCCCCAGATCCCGCACCCCCATCTGCAGCCAGACGGGACTCTCAGGCGGCAGGTAGAAGAGAAGGTTTATAGGTTCATGGGGACACAGTGTAGCAGTGACTTGTTGTTACAGGAACCGGGAGCAGCCGGTACTGGCCCCCCAAGCTGGCTAGACTCCCCCCTCCCTAAACTAGCCGAAAAACCAAACTCACGCACCCAGCCCTCCAGGGTGTCACCTGCTTGCTCCCCCCACCCAGGCTCAGGTTACAGGACAGCCCAAGCTATCGCTGTGGACTTGCTAAGATGGGGCAGCCTCCCCTCAGTGAGAGCACCCCCCCATTCCCATCCCCAGCCGGGTACCAGTGCAGTGCCCAGAGAAACTGAGGCACACCCGGGGTTACCACCCAACAGCACAGGGCAGTAGGAATCTCATACAACATAAAGCAAACAGTGAAAACAGCCCCACTATGTCCCGGGGGGTCACCCCCATTGCCCCGGGGCCTGCCAGAGATGGGGGGCAGGGCAGTGCACAGTGAGGGTCTCGGCATGAGGCCAGGCCACTGATCCACGTGCCCCAGGGCCCAGCGGTGGCCAATGAAGACGCCTGTGCTGGGGACTGTCCGTGCCCCCCCTGGCCAAGCTGCCGGCCGTGACCTGGGCCCTTCCTGGGCAGGCCCCCGGTGGTCCCTGCAGGGGGGCGGGTGGAGGTTGGCAGGACCCGGACTCTGCAGAGGCGGGTGGTTCCTGCTCTTGCCCCAGTGGCTTGGGCCCCCCCGGACAGGGCTTGGTCCTCCCTCGGATGCCCCATCCCCTCTGCAGGGCCACGCCCCACAGCTCCTGTCCCTTGCCCCGAACTCTGCCCTGCCCGGCCGGGGGTCGCTCCGTGGGGCCGGGCCCTGGCAGCGGGCGGGGTGCGTTCCCCAGCTGTTAGGAAGCCTCCGTCTCTGACTGACGGGGCCCCGTGGGACACCAGGACTCCCTGGCAAATTCACGCAGCTGGCCGGGAAAGTGG